AAGTTAATGTCAGATATATTCAAGTTGATTTTTAAGGGGGGAAACAAAATGATAGGTTTGAGCTTTTGTTTTGTGTCATTTTCCTCTTGGTCTATTTTGATCACATATGTGTGTGTAGCTATGGTGGGGAGGAAAGCGGGGGGCGGGGGGGGGATGTTTCCCCTTTGTTCCAGAAACTCCTGGGGAGAAAAGCAAATGTAGTAACATTGTTTATCCTTGCAAAAAGCATAAAAGGTTTCAAGTAGTTTCAACTGCAGCATCCCTTAACCGTAACGGCTTCATCCTGAAAACCTGTAGTGTTTTGTAAGAAGAGATGCAATCGTATTATTCATTCTCATATTCCTGCAAACTCCTAATTAAACCAAATGGACTTCCTGGCTTAAGTACTCTCTTTAACGACTGATATTTGAACACACATTAAGCTAAGAGTTGAGGCTATCGGAAGAAGTATTCCCCAAAGCCTTGCACTTCCTTTCTCCTTTACATCCCCAGGGCAAATATGAGGAAAAGAGTAATCCGATGTTCTGGAGTGTTTGTAACTCTGAGGAAATGGAATATAATTTTCTATAGGCAATGTTATAAATGGCCATTGATTTCTAGAGCATCCCATGAAAAGCTTATTTAAGCAGTGATGCAGATGAAATTGCACTGGGGTTCTGATTGATTCTGGTTTTTAGATTTATTTTTTTATTTTTATGTTTTACATTTATTTATTTTTGAGAGAGAGAAACAGAGTGCTAGCAAGGGAGGAGGGGCAGAGAGCGAGGGAGACACAGAATCCGAAGCAGGCTCCAGGCTTCCAGCTGTCGGCACAGAGCCCAACTTGGTGACCCAACCCACAAACCATGAGATCGTAACTGAGCCAAAGTTGGACACTCAACCGACTGAGCCACCCAGGCGCCCCTGATTGATTCTGGTTTTAAAAGGCTTTTGTGGGATATCTTAAAATTTTAACCACCTTTAGTAAAACCACGTTTTTATGGGAAAGTACATCCTGAAAGAGTTAACAAAAAAAAAAATTCAAAACAGATTGAGTTTGTAAGACCAGATGCCACCTGTTTACAGAGACACAGTGTTTGAAGGCCCCTTTCAATCATATCACCTCTTTTTTGTTTTCCTACCAAAATTGCGGTAGGCTGAGTGCTCTACAGAGGCCCCTCTGTCATCCCCTCTTCATCAGGAAGGGGAGGCAGAGTGAGCCAGCTTCTAACCCAGCTTTCTTCTCTCCCTACTCACACCTTACACTCAAGCAATGCAGAACCACTTCTGCCTCCCTTCAGAGGATAGGCACACTCCCCTCTTTTTGCCTGGAAGAGCCCATCTTTTCCCGCTGCCTCCTCTGAGAAGCCCCCCCTGACTTGCCCTTGTGGGCCAGTGATCTGTTGCTCACTGGATCCTCTCCTTGAAACGCTGCTTGTGATGGCTTACAGGTTTGAGGCATCAATGGCCTATAAGCACCTTGAAGGCAAGGACCAAACTCTGTATTTATATGTTTACCGCGTGCTGCTGACATGGACAACATGATCAAGGAGGAAATTAATGGGGTGCCGGTGGCTCATTCAGTTAAGCATCCGACTCTTGACTTCACCCCAGGTCATGATCTCACAGTTTGTGGGTTCGAGCCCCATAGCAGGCTCTGCGCTGACAGCTCAGAGTCTGGAGCCTGCTTCAGATTCTGTGTCCCCCTCTCTCTCTGAACCTCCCCAGCTCGCACTCTGCCTCTCTCTCTCTCTCTCAAAAATAAATAAACATTAAAAAAAATTTAAAGGGGGAAATTAATGATGAATAAACACAATTTAACAAAACTCCACTCCTTGTTCTTTACCCTTTTGTGTCCAACCTGCTCTTTCACCAGCAATTATATACAAATGTCTCTTTACCTTTTGCAAAAAGCAATGGCTCAAATGGAGCAAAGGACATAGGGAGAAAAAAGAAACAGAAACTGAAAGAAAAAAATACCCAAAACTTAAAGAACCTACCACACAAAAAACCAAGCATATGAGAGACGTTCAATAGAGCATCCTTATCTAAATGTTAGTGGGTGAACTACGGAGTCAAGGTTAAGACTGAAAACAGCTGCTTCATAGACTAGTTCCTTTAAGGGCAGGGAGTAAGGGGCATATGTGGCCAGAAGGAGAGTATGTTATGGGTGAAGTTCTTTAAGAACTGGGTGCGATACTGTGACCTGACCGCAAAATAATGGCCCTGGTGTTTGTTTCTGGCTGTCCTATTGAACGCTAGCCAGCAGAGGGTAACCACAAATATTGTGTGCACCCTCCCCTTCCCTGCTTTCGTAATGTTTTCTTTCTATTCCGGATAAATATTAAATTGGTGATTCTTGTCTCCAGAGCTAGAATATGACAGGTGGTGGGTGTAGTAATTCTTAGTAACTGGTGGGAATCTTTTTGGAGGTTTTAATTTGGTACTTGAAGCTAGGGAACATGGGATGAGCCTGGTTGGAAAAATGATTATGCAGTTAGAACTAACTTTGAAGAAGCAGTATTATATGCCAAACGCTGTGGTAAGTGATTCACATGCATTAGCATATTTAATCATCACGAAAAAGAGGATGTACTATTTTATCAGTCCCATTTTCTGGGCAAAAGTCTGAAACATTGGTTAATTTAAGCAACTCGCAGAGCTTGGAATCAAAATGACACTTATTCTCATGGTTTATATAAGCTCTGCCTGTGGAACTTTCCAGTTTAACCAAAGTGCTGTGCTCCGGCTCTGGGCTGTGGGATCTGAGCCGGCTCCAGCCAGAGAGAGGGTCCTAGGGAAAGAATGGAAGTGGAAAGAAATGAAAAAGAAAGGATGTTGTAGAAGTGACTAAATCTAAATCATAGTTTCAAAATTATATTTGTAATACTAAAGGAAACTATTATGTGATTCAATATTTATAGGTTTTTTGATAAAGTAGACAGTGGATTTTCTTAACTTTTTCTCTCTGATATCCATGATTGTTAATCTCATTTTCTTTTTTTTTTCAAAAAATTTTTCAAGTTTATTTATTTTGAGAGAGAGGGAGGAAGTGCACATGCCAGTATGAGCAGCACAGAGAGAGGGAAAGATAGAATCTCAAGCAAGCTCTGTATCGTCAGCACAGAGCCAGATGCGGGGCTCAAACTTGTAAGCCTCGAGATCATGACCTGACCGGAAACCAAGAGTCAGTTGCTTAACCGACCGAGCCACCCAGGTGCCTCTCACACATTTTCTTTACTTAAATTGTCTCATCGGTCTCTCCATGTGAATGGATGATGGAAGTTTATTCGGAGCAGGAAAACCCTATCTGGCCACAAAATGAATCCCATCATAGCTCTTGAAGACTTTGGCTAGGATCAGCATTGAAGGGGAGAGAAATGTGAGGAGATTTGCCAGGAACAAAGTCAGGATCTCTTCAGTTCATTCTGGTTAATGTTTTTGAGTGTTGACTGTGTGACCATGCATGAAGCTCCCACAAGAATGACAGGTATTCAGGATTCAGCGCTTACCTTCACCTTCCAGAGTAGAAAACAAGACATCTGAATCAATAACCATAATGCAAAATGATCAATCCTATCTTAAGGGCATTGTGCAAAGCACCTAGACAGCAATGAAAGAACAGTTTTTTGGGTCTATCAATACACAACAGCTTGCCTCATGGACTAATGTTTATGATTTGCTGGTGCTCTTAGAGTTCACACTTGCTATGAAATAATGGATAATTTAGGTTAGTTTTGAAACTAGACATGAAAACAGTTGCATCCTATGGTTGTGGAATGTCCAGAATTCTGATTTTATCTATTCACTAAAATGTTGAGGATAGAAAGCAATGGGATAATGCTGCTATAGTTGACCCATTCACAGTTAATACTCATCTACTGAAGGCTTACTGCACATAAGATACTCCAGTAGCCATTATGCAACAATGGGCAAGTGGCTAGGAAAAAAACCAGACCCATCTAAATAAAAGAACGCTTTATAGAGAATACGTCTTCAGGTAGAATCACTTAATCATATAGCTGAAGGGAGCTGAAGAAAACATGGAGCTCTGTCATTTTACAGATGAGGAAACTGAGACCTGGTGGTAAAAAATAAAATGATTATTTTTTCAAATATTCTACATCTAATTAATGACAGATCTGGGACCAGGGCCCTCAGAGGACAGATAGGCAATGTAGTGAGTAGCTCACCTGTGAACTCTAGAGTCACACCATGTGGGCTCCAGTCCCATCTCCACCACAGACTGACTGGGTTATCGTAAGCAAGTTTATTTATTTATTTATTTATTTTTTAATTTTTTAAATTTATTTCTAGGAGAGAGAGAGACAGCGTGAGCAGGGGAGGGTCAGAGAGAGAGGGAGTCACAGACTCTGAAACAGGCTCCAGGCTCTGAGCTGGCAGTCAGCACAGAGCACGACATGGGGCTCGAACCCATGAGCCGCGAGATCATGACCTAAGCGAAAGTCAGACGCTTAACTGACTAAGCCACCCAGGCGCCCCTAGTAAGCAAGTTTTTAAACACTCTGACTTTTAGTGTCTCCATCTGAAAAATGGGATTAATACTATAGTATCTGTCTTACATAAAATGAAAGAATCCATGTAAACCAGTAATTAAGAGTAAAATGAGGAGGTGCCTGGGTGGCTCAGTTGGTTGAGCATCCAACTGTTGATTTCGACTCGGGTCATGTTCTCACTGTCAGTTGGAGCCCCATGTCAATTTCCACATAGGTATGGTGCTGCTTGAGATTCTCTCCCTCTTCCTCTGACTCACCCCTGCTTGAGCTCTCTCTGTCTCTCTCTCAAAAATGAGATAATGCAGATGAACCAGGAACATAATAAGAGCTTGTTGTTACTTATTAACACTCATGTGTCCTGATTTCTACATCAGTATTCTTTCTGCCACAACAGTACAATGGGGTTTTGTTCATTTTTGTTTCTCTGACACAGAAAGAAATCTATGTGTCAGATCTATGTGCTCATATGGTGTTTCCATTCCCCCTTACATCTTTTTCTTTCAGGGCCAAGGAGATTAAGCTCAAGTTGGGAATTCTCCTCCAGAAGCCAGACTCAGCTGTTGACCTTGTCATTCCATACAATGAGAAGCCGGAGAAGCCAGCCAAGACCCAGAAGTGAGTCATGAACATGGATCCCACTGCTTTCCCTCCAGAGGATGGCTATTTCTCAAGTGTGTAGCACCAACCCTCCCGTGTAGAGCTCCCCACCTTCGATTACTCACTGAAGGTCATAAGATCCCTCAGAGAAGAGTTGGTTTGTAAATAAGCATGTTTTTACTTTTCTATATCTGGACCATAATATTGGGTACTGGCAGATGACTTAAAAAATAAAGATAAGGCCCTGCCTTGGGACCTTGTTGGAGAGACAGATAATACCTTATAAAATGGCACCAGCTTCTTCATCAGTTAATTACCACACAGACTTATGACCAAAAAATAAAAAAAAAACAAAAAACCCAACCTATTCACTTGCTGCCTGGGGCTCTGGGTGAACCATTCCTGATCCAATTACTATGATCACAGGGTGAGCTCACCTGCTACCCAACCAGCCAAGGCGGCTTCCTCCGCAGGAAGATACAAATGGAAACATTTCCCTCAGGAAGATGCTAAGACCAAGGCAGACAGTTTAGGCCCAATAGCTTATTCTCCAAGATATTATTCCCCCAAGGTCCAAAAGAGGAACAGAAAACTATTCCTTGACAGAGGAAGGAGCACCCGACCAGCCAAGTCTATTTAATGTACATGAAGCATTTTTAACCCCGATCCATAAATTACTATTCTTGACTGGACTTCTCTCTCCTTCCCCGCCCCCCACCCCGCCCCGTCTCCCCACTCCAATCAATTCAGGCATGGAGAGAAACTAGAATTCCAAAATACTGATTTCTACATCAGTATTCTTTCTGCCACAACAGTACAATGGGGGGGAGGGGAGCGGGGGGTCCAAAGATTCAAGCTGTTGTGCATAGTCCAGCTGACCACTGGAGGAATGCTCCTCATAGCACACGTATCGTTTCCATTTCCATCCACCCCCTCAAACGTTTTCATGGGCATGAAAATCAAGAAGGGCAACTGGGTAGAAGAAAAACCAACGTAGTGCATTCTTTCACCCTGCTGTCTAAAAGCTTTGAGGAGATCGCAGAAGTGTGGTAGGAACACAAGACCCCCTTTAGACCTGAACTTCTTTTTAAATGTAACATACATATAAATTGGCCAATCGTTCCTGTCCAAATGACCTTCAACTTAATATAGGTGGGTGGGCTGGAAGAGGAAAAGACGGGTTAGTCCTTTTAAATCTTTTTCCATCAACCTAAGTGGATATTTCCATTCTCCTCTTATTACTTCAAAGTGATTCCATACCGGAAGTGAGGCATAATTGAGTTTTCTGCATTTAGAAAGGGGAAGCTAATTCAGTGTGGAGTGGCAGGCACCAGGCAGTGGTGGGGAATGAGAAACACATTTCATAGCAGCCACAGATCAAAAAATAAAATCTATTTTGAAGTAAACAATGTGGTGGTTATGGATCTGTGGGAATTCACTTTCAAAGATAAATATAATGCTACATTTCCTGCTTTGATTCTCTGTTTTAATCTTCCATACAGACACTCAAGCTATTTGGCTTAACAGGGATTCACAGAGAAGCAGTTTGGGAAGAAAACTTGGGGTCGATAGTTATTGGATGATTTTGTCTTCTGTTGCTGTTCTTCTTCCAAGAGTTTAAATTGTTTGGGGGAAAACATCCTTCATATCTCTAGAGACTATTGTGTGTCTCTATTATCTTTCTCAGGGTGACCCCTACAAGGCTTTCCCACCCTCTGTCAAACCCCTAAACCCCTTCCACCTCCTCATGTTTGGCCAATTTCCTTGCCTTTTAACTATCAAGAAAAGACTGTGTTCTGCATGAGCTCAATGGATCTCTCTTCTCCCCACTTAAAACTTCTCTGCCTTTTTTGTACCCATGTTCCTCTCTCAGAGAAGAAAATAAACCTTCACCAGACTGAAGGTATTTTTAACCCCCTCATCTTTTAAAAAAAGCAATCCATTTTTTAAAAAGCATTTCTACTTTTTCAATGTTTTTCTTTTTAAAGTTTTTTTTTTTAACATTTATTCATTTTTGAGACACAGAGAGAGCACGAGCCAGGGGAGAGGCAGAGAGAGAGGGAGACACAGAATCCGAAGCAGGATCCAGGCTCTGAGCTGTCAGCACAGAGCCCAATGCGGGACTCAAACTCACAAACCGTGAAATCATGGCCTTGACGTGAAGTCAGACACTTAAGCAACTGAACCACCCAGGCACCCCACATGTTTTTATTTTTGTCACTAAAACAACAGAAATTGAAAAAAATTGAAATGAAAAATAAAAATAGGAAAGAGTTGCCCACATCTCTACCACCCATAGCCGGTGTCTGTTGCCATTTTCATGTTCTTAATTGTTCTTTTCTTTCTGGGCCTGTGCTCCACTCTGAAAAACTCTCTCAGCCCCCCCTCCCACTCCTATCTCTTTCTCTTGCTTTCATGGGGTAATTCTAGAAACAGAAAGTGTCAATCATGAAGAGACTATAAAACAACCCAAGCATTTATCTGGGGTCTTATGGATGGCAATCTAGGAGACACAGAGCCAACCCAAACTGAAAATGTGGTCCTGATTGGCAGCGTGAAATACAGGCTTATGAAGTCAAAAACCACAAGGCTATGTAACTTGTTTTAAAAGAATTGTGATTCACGTGGCACAGGTTTTTTTTTTTTTAATGTTTATTTATTTTTGAGAGAGAGAGAGAGGAAGAGAGAGAGAGGGAGACACAGAATCTGAAGCAGGCTCCAGGCTCCGAGTTGTCAACAAAGAGCCTGATGTAGGTCTCGTACCCATAAACCATGAGATCATGACCTGAGCCGAAGTCAGATGCTTAACCGACTGAGCCACGTAGGGGCCCCGTGTGGCACAGTTTTAACAAATACACAATTGGTTGTTTGGCTAACAGGTGTTACCTGACCTCTCTTTTGGCCCAGAGTAGAAGGATGTGTCCCAGGAGGTGGTCTAGGTGCTCTGACCAAAGTCACGTGTTTATGGTGTTAAGAGATGTGCCTGCTTCCTCAACATCCTCTCGACTCCATTCTGAGTTACTCCTCAAAATGTTTACTTGGATTTAAATCTTCTTTTGCAAAAGCCGCTGTTTCCAGAATCTTCTCTTCACTCTTGCTTATCAGGTTTAAACCTTACTGCCCCCAGGAACCCTCTCTCAGGCCTCGCCTTTGATTCGTCGCCAGGGTTTGACTTGTCGCCAGGGTTTGACTTGTCGCCAGGGTTTGACTCTGCTCCACCATCTTCTCTCTCTCTAAGGACTCCTGCTTTTGCACCCTGTCTGTATGTGAGCATTTCCCGAGGCTGTGCCATAGGTCCTCATAATGAATAATAAAAAATTAATACAACACATAAATTTAGTTTGCAATAACTTATATCATGGCTTGTCATATAATCAATTGTGAAATGCTTAGGAGCTGATACAGATTTTGTTTTTAATTTAATTGCAATCCAAGTTAGCTAACATCTAGTGGGATAATGATTTCAGAAACAGAATTTAGTGAATCATCACTTACACATGACACCCAGTGCTCGTCCCCACAAGTGCCCTCCTTAATGCCCATCATGCATTTAGTCCATCCCCCCACCCAACACCCCTCCAGCAACCCTCAGTTTGTTCTCTGTATTTAAGAGCCTCTTATGGTTTGCTTCCCTCCCTGTTTTTATCTTATTTTTGCTTCCCTTCCCTTATGTGATACAAATATTCTTATAGTTTATTTTATATTCTAGATGTTCCTTTTCTCCCTCCCTATGCTATTAATTTTAAACTACACTTGGTTGTTGTTGTTTTACCATCTCATGACTCTAGAACGATCTCCACACAGAGGCAGGATCTAGCTGTGAACAGTTATGAAGTGTTCCCGTATCCATAGTCTGACCGGGTGAGCTGCTGTGTGAGCATCACTGCCAGGATTACGGCTGTATGTACAATGTTTGGCCCAAAGCTAGACGATGAAAAGTGGCAGGTGTTTTTATCTGCATCCCTATCCTTGGCGCACAGGTCACACTGTTGGCCATGGGGTAAGGGCTCAACAAACATCCGGGAGGGGACCGGAGCTGAGTCGTGAGCACATTGCCCTGCGGGGAAGGAAGAGAGAACAGAGCAGGCACATCAGGGCCAATAAATAACTGGGATTTCATTTCCCTTGTCAAGCATGGGAACATGGGAGAACATTACCAGAAGTGTTTCAGTACGTGCCCAGGACCGTGTGGATTAAAAAACAAGGAAGGGAACCCACTGGTGTTTAGAAAGGTTAAAATACTTTCCCATGGTTACAGCTAGGATGTGTCAGAGTTGCCAACAGTTGTAGCAATGGTTCAGAGGGCTAGCATTTTTGAGATTGAAGTTTCGGCGTTATTTATGGCTTTCATCAACCAGACTAATTAACTATGGGCAAACTGAATCATCATTAATGTTTGCATTTATTTGACTCACACTTATGGCTGTAGATTAATGCTGTAGGGGCTGCACCATCAGACAGGGGGACTGGGAAAAGCTCTCCATGACTGACAAACTCTACATTTTGGCAGTGGGCACGCTGTCACCCTGTCAGCGACTTAACAAGTAAATGGGTAAGAGGACAGTAAAGAGAGACAACACTTCCGGTCGAGATGGTCCCTTCCTGGACTAGGCGGCATTTACGCTGGCCATTAGAAAACGCGTGGTTAATCATCTCTGTAAATGTTTGTTTTGCCTTTCATGTGAACTGGCTTCCTCCCCTTCCCCCCACGCCCACACTCAGAGGCTTCGTGCCCACTCTCTGTGGTCAGCGATGGCCTTGCAAACCGGGCACTTATTGGCCATTTAGATCCGCATCTATCTTGTTTCCAAAGAAGTCAGACTTAATGAGGGCTGGCAAATTCTGAGAATCAGGACAGGATGAACCTCTGTTGCCTCCTAGGCTGGTAATCGGAACAGTGGGCTTTATGCTGTGGGGCATGCATCCTGCTCAACTGTGTCCTTGAATCAATTTGGGCTAATTTAACCCCCAGGCGGACTCTACACATGTCCTTTTCAGGAATTTAATCTTGGCTGTGATGTACCGCTGATACCGATCATTAGTCTGGTTCGAACAACACCATTTGGGACAAATTGGATCTGGGAGCCTGCTTAAGTCAGGTGCACCTGCTATGTCATTTCTTCTTCCTGTGTTCCTCTCTCCTAACCAGAGGAAAAGGGGAAAAGGAAGGTGATTTCCTTTTATGAGAATATTCATGAAAGGAGAAAGAGGTTCAGTGAGGGAACCAGGCCTTCCCCTTGTTCTGTTTCTTTTGTCCAATTATTTAATGTCCTGCTGTTTCTATAAACAATCAGTAGAGACTTGATGGGGGTCTATTATTTGCAGAACATTAGACCCACCATAGTGAAGTTAAGATGTGAAGAGCCTTATGGTAAAAATGTAGGTATGAAATAACATGTACATAGGAAAAGTTCTCAGCATGGGGTAATAAAGGAGAGCCACAAGGAGTTATGACCTCTAGAAAGTGGGTCCTTTTCTGGTTAGAAATAAAATAAGGCAGAAAAATATAGGGACATATTCACAATCCCTTTTTCATGTCATTTCTCTTTCCTGTGCTCCTTTATGCCAACCAGAAGAAAATGAGGGGGGGGGAGGGGAGGGAAGGCTGTTCACATCTTAAAATAAATTTCAGAGCAATTAGTGTGGAGTTCTTGATCTATGACACCCGTGTTCTTAGATAGGCAAAAAGAAACCACTTCTGATCATTTCACCAGTTTTGTTCTTCTTATTTTTGTCCTGTTTAATCTTCAAATAGCAAAAACACAAAACTTTATGGAAAATCAAATAATTAATGCCCCCAAATTGCCCATATTCCAGGATGAAAAATAAAGAAGTGAAGGAGGGGTACGTGGGGGGCTCAGTTAAGCATCTGACTCTTTCTTGGTTTTGGCTTAGGTTGTGGTCTTGCAATTTGTGAGTTCGAGCCCCACGATGAGCTCTGTGCTGACGGTGCAGAACCTGCTTGGGATTCTCTCCTTCTCCCTCTCTCTCTGAACTTCCCCTACTTGCTCTCTCTGTCTCTCTCGAAATGAATAAATAATTTTTTTTAAAAAAGTGAAGGAAGTACTTACAGCACTTTAGCCAAAATACCTACTGCCATATTGGACTCCCAAAACAGTGAATCTATAGCAAAGCCTGGGCAGCAAAATGCAAAGTGGAATTAGCAATGGTCTTATCGAGCTCAGCTGCTAATCTTCATACTTGAAACCCCAAGATAATATTAAAAAGGGGGGGGCAGGAATGGTCTTGGACTCTCTGAACAGTAGATAAACATAGTGAAGAGCTAAGAAAGTTCCAGTTTAGGAAAAATACCTTCACTGGCCTTGCTATTCTAGCAAATGCCTTGTTACTGTCTTCTGAGTTGATGAGGGAGGACTCACATCATAATGCAGGAGCTAGGGCAGGTGGGGCCCGGGAGAGCACAGTCAGCCATTTTTCCCAGACACCAGCCTGACTAACACGGTCCTGTGGGGCGAGGGGAATTAGTGGTTATAATGGAATACCTGCAGGATTTCCGCATATATAAATGTTAAAACAAAAACAGCCTAAGGGGAAATTATATGCTGCCTCTTCCCTTCTCCTTTTGAGTCAGTATCTAGAGCATGTATGTACAACATTCTTATTCACAATGCATACCACTTTTCTTCTCAGATGGAGAAAATTTTTTAAAAATCGCCATCCTGTCCTAACAGGGCAGGAAAAATGCACCCAGATTTTTAAAAACTTAGACTTGCTCTGTTCACATTTCCAATGTGAGGCAGCGTTACAGCTTCCATCTTCTAGCCTTAATGATGGCAGCAGGATGTGGATGTGGAATCAAATGCCCTTTGCTGATTAGATTGTGTGGTGAAAGTGGAGCATCGGGGAGGCAGAGGACATGAGCTCAATCCTTATAAGGGGGCCACTGGAATTCATTCTGTTGCATTTGGGGGGAAAGGGCCACAATTCGAGGGACTGTCATAGGCTATACAAGAATATTATGACACAGCTTCATGATGAGTGGACTTTACTTCCAAAAAGAGACAGACCTAAACAAATCATTCAAACAGAGATGAAAGTACATGATATAGATGTGGGACAGCAAACACAGCCCACCAAACCCAGTCTTTAGAAAGAAAATAATTCACACTCTCTCGTCCTGAGGATGGGTCATTGGTTGTAGCTCTTCTAAGCAAAGCAGATCCAAGGCATGGTCAGGGATGTGGTTAGTACCCTTCTCATAGTGGTCAACTTTTCTTTTTTTTAAATTCTTGATGTAGACCCCCGCTGGATGAGGCTCTGCAGTGGCGTGATTCCCTGGACAAGATCCTGCAGAACAACTGTAAGTTGGAATTTTCTTTTATGAAAGGTCAGGGGAAGGCCGGTGTCCTTCTCCAATTTTGACACTTCTTCAAATTTTCTTTTTCTAATTTTATTGTATTTATTTTTGAGAGAGAGAATGAGCAGGGGAGGGGGAGAGAGAGGGAGACACAGAATCCAAAGTAGGCTCCAGTCTCCATCCAAGCCTATCAGCACAGAGCCCAATGTGGGGCTCAGACTCACGAACCACAAGATCATGACCCAAGCCTAACCGACTGAGCCACCCAGGTGCCGTCTTCAATTTTTCAAGGTGGCTCAACAAGGGAAGGAGCCCTGAGAGTGTGGTTATCCAGCACATGAGAAGACAAAGGTCTCCCGTACTTAAGAGAACCTGAAAATAAAGTGTCCCGAGGACTCATGGTCTCTCATTGTTTTCCCATCTATCCTGCTTACTTGTATGAGCCAGAGCAAGTGGCTTGACCTGTGTGTTTCTCAATATTTTCATCAGTAAAAGACAGACACTGCCTTTTCCTGCTGAGCCTCATCATGGCTTGATAAGGACTGGGTATAGCAGCTTGAAGGACAGTGGATTAGGGACCATAGATTGGATACTATGTCCTAGTCCAAGCTGCTCTTAACTCCTCCTGGGGCCCGACACGGGCTGTTATCTCCCCTAGCCTTGGTTTGCTCTTCTTGGGCTTGACTTTTATATCTTCATTCAAGACATGACAGAGGTCCCAGAGAGAACCCGTTTCCAAGCTAATACCAATACACCTGAGCGCTGCTTGCCTCTCCCCTAATCCAAATCCTTACTGATTCCCAAGGCCTACGGTATCAAGTTTAAGATTCTCCCACGAAAACAATCTGGCTGCTTTGCAGTCATACTGAAGTCTTCCTCCCTCCACATGGGATTTCTACATGTTATCCCTGTGGTTGGAAAACTTTGCATTCCCATCTCTGTCTGTTGACATTCTTACTCTTCCATGAAAGCAAATCTGAATACTAAATGCCTAGTCTTCCTTGGCCATCCAGAGTGATTTATCCTCCCTCTGAGCTCCCAGAGCACCTGTCTGCACATCTGTTTTGCTGCTCAATACTACCTACCAGGTACTTTTTCTCAGCTGTCTCCCTCCTATGTTAGATTATGAACTCGGTGACATCAAGGACTTAGCCTTTTGATCTGAATAATTTCCCAATAGGAAGTGCACAATTTGGGGAGAATAAATATTTGTGGAATAGCTCATTTTGAGGATATGACTCAATTTAAGGGATCCAACCTGTATTTCTCCACCTTTACCCCAAGAATCGTATATGAAACTGTTAGATACTTTGCAAAAATAAAGATTTAAAAAATAGCTCTCACAGGAGCATCATTAATAATAGGCACAGCGTAGATAACAAAGAACATATGTCGAATTGTGTATGAAAAAATGTTTATGGGGCACCTGGTTAGCTCAGTCGGTTAAGCTTCTGACTCTTGATTTTGGCTCAGGTCATGATCTCACGGTTTATGGATTTGAGCCCTGCATCAGGCTCTGCACTGACAGTGGGGTCCTGCTTGGCAATCTCTCTCTCCTTCTCTCTCTGCTCCTTCCCCACTGGCATAGGCTCTCCCTCTCTCTCAAAATAAATAAATAAACTTAAAAAATGTCTGTCTTGTTTTGGGTAGGGTAAGCTTCTGCTTACCTGATAAAGAATAATCATTATCTTATATTTGGAGGAAGACCACCCAAACCTTGACTTTGTAACTTTCTTCATCTTATCCACTTTGATTCTCATTTTATTTCTTGTGCCAAACAGAATACCAGGCCCTGTCGCATACAAAGTGTTCAGTAAATGTTTGTTGACTTAACGGATGAATGAATTAGTTCATTTTGCTTCTTGGATCCAGAAATCCCACAAGGCCGATTAAGAGAAAAATATTTATGTTTATCAATTGACTTATTTATTGTCTTCCACAATGGGTTTGGGGCCAATCACAGCTTGACAGATGATATATTGCTACATTATGAATGCTAAGTACCCTGGGTACAGGTGTTTATTGCTACTGTCAAGAAACCTGAGAATTAGCAGACCTATTTTCATGTTTGCAAAACCATTTAGAAGTAGGATATAAATTTGTGTGCCTATATCCAATCCTTTTCAGTCCCACTAATCCTTAGGGGCACATGTTCATATATTTCAGGCTTTTAGGGACAGGGAGCTATTGGTATAAGAAAGATAGAGATAGACGTTAAGCCAGAGGCAGTTAATGTTAACATCTTAGCATTTGTTGAGGGTCTGAAGTCTTTTAGCGTGCAAACAGACGGTCATCATGGTGTGAGCTTAAGGGCTGACACACTCACAGTAGTATCTGCCACTTCTCAGTGGGGAGAATATACAGTCCCATCAGTGTGTTTGTGTAAACATATCTATGTAATATTCACATTTCATTTAATCATATATATCTAAAAATTACATATGCATGTAGATGTGTTATACAGTATGTATCTGTGTATACGTGTGTGTATGTATAGTCTTAAGTTCTATGTAATTATCCTCCTAAGTAATTAACATTTTTCTTTAAATGTGTTTTTGTCACTTCTATGTTTTTTTTAATTTGAGAAAAAGAGAGAGAACAGGGGAATGGGTCAGAGAGAGAGAGCAGGAGAGGGGATAAGAGGGAGAGAGAGAGAGAGAGAAAGCAGGGTAGGAGGGCAGAAGGAGAGAAAGAAAGAATCTTGAGCAGGCTCCGCACTTAGTGCACAGACTGTCTCAGAGCTCAAACTCACAACCTTGAGATCGTGACCAGAGCTGGAACCAAGAGTCAGATGCTCAACCAATGAAGCCACCCAGGCGCCCCAGTAATTAACATTTTTAAGACTTGGGAAATTAATTTATCCTAGTGATAGATGGAAAAGCATTTGATAACCATTCAGGTCAAAATTCTTCCTTTGAAAGGATATTTCTCTATATCCAAATTAGCTCAAGTGAAACAGAGAGGTTCTGGTATGAGTATAGAGATCTCACAGAAAGCATGGAGAGCCATGCCCTAAGGGGGGCGGCTGCCATTAGTAAATAAGACCGCTTCTCTCTCGAAGTTGTTTCCTCTGCTCTTACTCTCTGTGTGTCTCTCTTCCTCTTTACTTTTCCATTCCCCTCTCCGCCTGCTTTCCTCTCTGACTCCCCTTCTTGCTCGGTGTGTCTCTCTTGCCATGTTGTCCCTGCTCTCCACTTCTCGCTATCTCGTTCTCCCTAGAGGACTAATGGAACGCCATCAGCCTGAAGAAACATTTGATCTATTCTCCTGAATACCAGCTACTGAGCCTCGTGAATAACTTTAAGTCAAAATTTAGCAACTCAGCTCTCATGAAATGTTCGTATTTGAATCTGCTGAAACTCATGGCCTGTAATCAGAAATACCTAACATTGTCTGTGAACGATGCAAAATAGGTAACTGAGAAAGAAACATTTGAGAAATCTCTGCATTTGAAACTCCATGATCTCTGCTTGCATGTTTGATTGGATAAATTAAACCATTGAACCTCGAGGAGTGGCATCTTCTCTGATTTACCAAGAACATTTGGCATTCTGTTCTGCTAATGCAGGGTATTGCCTCACAATTGATAGATATAGTTCCTGAGTATTCCTTAAACCCACATTTTTCTTGAGTGGAAATGAAATCAATTGGTATCTAACCTCTTAAAAAGAAGACACTTAAGGGGTGCCTGGGTAGCTTAGTCAGTTGAGCATCCAACATCAGCTCAGGTCATGATCTTGTGGTTCGTGAGTTCAAGCCCCATGTTGGGCTCTGTGCTGACAGCTCAGAGACTGGAGCCTGCTTCGGATTCTGTGTCTCCCTCTCCCTCAGTTCCTTCCCTACTTGCACTCTGTTTCTCTCTGTCTCTCAAAAATAAATAAAGACTTTTTCTTTCATAGTTTATTGTCAAGTTGGTTTCCATATAACACCCAGTGCTCATCCCAACAAGTGCCCTCCTCCATGCCCATCACCCACCTCCTTCTCTCCCCCACCCCCTGTAGCCCTCAGTTTGCTGAGAATAAAGATTTTAAAAAATAAAAAAATAAGACAGTTAAGGTGCTATTCAGTCTTTTCCAGCTAATAAGAATTCTCTTGCCTTTCCTCATTTAAGAGATCATGTTTAGTTCTCCAGTATATTTGACTCTGTTTTCACAGTATGTCAATTTCTTACATGTTTTGTGTTCAATTCTGTAGGTGACATCACCTGTAGTCATTAGGCCCATGGGACAAATATCAAGTGTGCTGCTCATTAAACACAGATGTGAACTGCACATGAAAGTTTAAATAAGACAGTAAAATTAGGGGTGCCTGGGTGGCTCAGTTAGTTAAGTGTCTGATTCTTCGTTTCGGCTCAGGTCATGATTTCATGATTCATGTGTTCAAGCCCCACATTGGGCCCCATGCTGACAGTGCAGAGCCTGCTTGGGATTCATTCTCTCTACCCTCTCTCTCTGCCCCTCCCCACCCCCCTCAAAATAAAAAAAATAAAAAAAATAACTTAAAATAAAAAAATAAAAAAGACGGTGACATTAAATCCCTCCACATGACTGTCTTTAAGAGCCAAGGAAGGGCCGCCGGGTGGCTCAGTCAGTTAAGCCCCCTACTTTGGCTCAGGTCATGATCTCACAGCTCGTGAGTTCAAGCCCCGAGTAGGGCTCTGTGCTGACAGCTCAGAGCCTGAAGCCTGCTTCAGATTCTGTGTCCCCTCTCTCTGCCCCACCCCCACTCATGGTCTGTCTCTCTCTCTCAAAAATAAATAATAAACATCAAAAAAATTTTTTTGAGAAAGAGCCAAGGAAGAATGAAACACAATCTAGTAGCAGCAGGAAAGTTTATATGTGAATTCTTTTTTTTTTTTTCCCCAGGAGCTCTAAAAGGTCAGAATATTTCCTGAGACACCCTTGCAATTTAGACTCATCTGTGGGGAATGGAATAGCCCAGATCTAGCCTTCCCTCCATCCCTTTCTCCTCTCTCTCTCTCTCTCTCTCTCTCTGTATCTTTG